TGCCCATCCCTCCTGCAGAGCCTGTAACTGTCCATCATGGTATACCAGTCATAGGACACATTCCACCAGGTTTCGCTTATGCCAATGATGCCATATCTCAGGGACTGGGCCAAGGCTTTGAGCTCCTCTTGCTTGTTCCTCATGCTGTGCACATTGGTACAGAAACATTTCAAGTATGGTTCATTGTAGCCAACACCTCATGGAGAAGACTGAAGAATCTTGCTGGCGCTCAGTCCCTCAAATTTTGGCATGCCATCCCATTGCTGATCACTGGCAAGCCTGGTTTTGTCCCTTTTCCCCTTTCAATCTTGTTTAAAGCTCTATCAATGAACCCTGCTAGCTCCTGTGTCAGTAGACCTGGTATTCTATAGACTATCCCATGGTCAAAAATCCCAACATCTTTCAAATAACACCAGCCTTGGAGCCACATGTTGATCTGATGGGTCGGTCTCTTCCTTTTGATATTCTTCCCTGCTACTGGAAGAATTGAGGAAAAGCTGCCTATGCTCCTCATCCTTTGTCCCAAGGCCCTGAAATCCCTTTTGATTGGACTTCTCTTTGTTATTTCATCATTGCCAACATGAAGAACCAATAGTGGATAATAATCAGAGGGCTGCACTACAACTAGGGAGTTTTCTAGTAGTGTCCCTTACCCAAGCCCCTGGGAGGCAGCAGACTTCCCTGTGAGTTGGGTCTGGTCTGCATATCAGGCCCTCTGCTCCCCTCAGAAGGGAGTCACCTATGATAACTACTCTTCTTTTTTTCTGAACAGATGAGGTCATGATGCAGGAGGTAGATTGTGTTGTCCCAGGTGGCCCCTCTATCCCAGAAGGACATTCATCCACTTCATCAGTTGACTGTCCTTCTAGTTCCAGGGCCTCATACCTGTTGTAAAAGGTGCCAGTCCTACTTGTCATCTCAAGTTTTCAGAAACAGGAGGAGCTGTCATCTGTGTACAGGCACTGACCAACTTCCAAACCTTCATGTTCAACAGACCATTAAATTACTGCTTGACAGGGTTCTGAGCCTACCTGCATCTCCACTGCAAGGGGAGGTTGAGACTCCTGAGACTGTAGCATCTCTGAGAACACCCTACCGATTTCTCTCTCATTCTTGTAAATGCTGCACAGACTGTTCACTTCCTTCTGTAGTTCCTTTACCCAGAGACACAACTTATAAAAAATAACACACCTTCTCCTCACAGAGATGCATCACGCACTCCCAGCAACCTGAGACCTGGAGAGCTGCATCTACCATCAGAAGGTCTGTCTGGGAGGAAGCCTCTGACATGGCTGGTGCAGTGACTCCTGCAGCTACAGGGGAATGAGCCCTGTGATGTGTCAAAACCATATCTGAGGGAGTGTATGCAAGTAAGATTGGGAATGGAAAGACCTCATTGTGCCCTTCTTCACCAACTACTGGGTCTGTTCACTGCCTCTGCTAGTTGCTCCCAGATGGTTGGACAGGAGACCTACCTGCTTGCTCTGCCTGCGCAAAGTGCCACACAAACTGCTGTCACATGCCCTGTTCATAGAGTTCCTGGTTGCTTGCACTTCCTACGTGCTCCTTATGAGAGAGTGGGAACAACCACTGGTCGTCACTGCTGTGACTGCCACCTAACAGTCACTGCTGGCTCCACCCATGCTGAATCAGCTGCTCTAGGGCAAGCTGCCAACTCCACATGGGTATTGGTGCTCTCTTGCAGTTCCCCTGGCTCTGGAAATATGCCCTGCTCACTTCAATCCCCTGCGCTACTGCAGGATGATCCTGTTTGCCTTGGTGAGTGATGTTTAATGGCAGTTCATCACATGTTGTTTCTGCAACTGCTTCCTCTTCAGGGGAGAACTTCTCATACTCTTCCCTTGCTCCAGCATGGGGTCTCTCCCATAGTGTTGACATATACTGATACTGTGTCTAGTAATGGTTATACACAGGGAAATACTATACACAATGTATTCTATTGTATATTGCTATACAGGTTCAGTCAAGGATTTCACTTCTTTTTCTAATCACTGCTTTGCATGATTTGGTTGTTTTAGTTTTTAACTACAACACTTAAATTCCCTTAGAGTCCCCATTTGCTGAAATATGCCACCTTATAATAGAAGCATGACCTAGTTTTTTAATCTTAAAAGAAAGATCATGCATCTAGTGATGTAAAAGCAGCTCCATCTATAACCTGATATCATCATTTTCCACTTCACTAGCATTTGCAGACTATTGAAATTTGCTTTGTATCTTGAGAATAGATTCTGTGAGCTGCTGTTAGTCATCTGAATGCTACTAGATCTACCATTACTTTTTGAGACGTAATAGCTCATTAATTTTGAAAATCTTTATTATGAATTGAATTGCTTCAATTGTAGTTTACCTCTCATCTTTCATATTTCTGAACTTTTATGGATTTCAGGTCATCTTGTTTGAGTACAGATGCTTTTTAAAAGCAGATGTCATAACATCTGTTTCTTATACCTTTTGAGAGAAATCTGTTTTCTCTTTTTTCTGTAAAGTAACTTTTAAAATAGCTGTTTCTATTGCTGTGAATTCAGATTATCCAGCAGAGGGAGATACGACGTAAGTCAATTAGAAACTTGGTCTAACTTGTTCTCTTTTGTGTGGGACCTTTCAGAGGTGTGGTGGGTTGACCTTGGCTGAACCCCAGGTGCCCACCCAGCCACTCTATCACTCCCCTTCCCAGTGGGACAGGGGAGAGAGTAAGTTGGAAAACAACTTGTGGGTTGGGATAAGGCAGTTTATTTAAAGTAAAAAGCAAAGTGAAGCTTGTGTGCGCAGAAGTGAAAGATAGCAGGGTTTATTCTCTATTTCACATGAACAGCGATGGTTGGTCACTCTTGAGAAGCAGGGCTTCGGTACCCGGACAATGAATGCCCGCCCTCCTGCTCCTTGCCTTAGCTTTTATATCTGAGCTGATGTCATATGGTATGGAATATCCCTTTGGTCAGTTTGGGTCAGCTGACCTACTTCGGTCCCCTCCCAGGATCTTGCCCTCAACTAAGGAAGGTATATTACAGTGTTGGTGCTGTGCTCAGCAGTAGCCAAAACACTGGTGTGTTATCAACACCCTTCTAGCTGCCAATGCAAAGTACAGCACTGTGAGGGCTACTGTGGGGAAATGAACTCCAGCTCAGTCAGACCCAATACAAGAGGAGATAAGATCCTTCATCTCACTGTTAATTTCTTAACAACCAGTACTGAATTACATATCAATGCTTCCATGTTAGCAAGTTTTCATATATGTTTTAAAAGACACTGTAGCTTTTACCTTTAATCCATTTAGCCTTTCAGGAAAGATGACTTAGTTAGCTACAAATTTGACTTTTTCAGTCTCTCTTTTTTTTTTTTTTAATAAATACACATTTAAGATGTTCGACTGTATAAAAACACTGTCATTCAGTTACACTGCCACTTATGGCTTTATTTGTCAGGATGCAGATTAGAGAGGACGTGTATTCTACTCAAGTATTTTGAAATACTATAAATGTAATTGCTTCTGCTTTTTGCATACATCAGTGAGAGAGATTCAGTGTCATTAATTTTTAAAAATATTATTTCTTAAATTCAAATTATAGCAGAAAAATGCAACACTTGAGAATAATGTGTTTGCAATTCCTGCCTTACTTCTGACAACTTTTTTTTAAGTGTTTCCAAAGAGGATATTCTATTTTTTTTTTCCAGCATCTTCTGGTGCTTGACTGCAAGTGTGCTTGACAAACTCAATCTAAGAATGAAATTCCAGAAGAGAGAAGCTCTGAATCCCTTTAAGAATAGTCTTCATTGCTTTAAGAACTGGTTATTGTCCAAAATGTTTTGCAATTGAGTGTGGACTATTTAATTAGGATTGGTGACTTTTATTATGCACATCATCCATAGAAACCTGATGCTTAAAGTATATTAATTCAAAGCGAAGTGTGATACTATCAACTTCTCTTGATTATTTTTTTTCACTATGATATGATTTGTGGTTTTCAGCATTTACTAAGAATTTTTCTTCTGCAATATTTTTAGCATAAACTTTCAGCTTCTTTTATTTAAATGCCATTCGGTTGAATGTGGGAACCTCATGAGATTTAAGCCAAGAGCAAGGTCCTGCACATGGGTCCTGCACATGGGTCAGGGCAACTCCAAGTATCAGTACAGGCTGGGGAATTAATTGATCCAGAGCAGCCCTGATAAGAAGGACTTGGGGGGGCTGGTGAATGAGAGGCTGGACAGGAGCTGGCAATGTGAGCTTGCAGCCCAGAAACCAAGAACATCCTGGGCTTCATCAAAAGCAGCATGGCCAGTAGGTCAAGGGATTCTGCCCCTCTACTCCACACTTGTGAGACCCCAACTAGAGTACTGCATCCAGCTCTGGAGTCCCCAGCACAGGAAGGAGCAAGTCCAGAGCAGGGCCATGAAGATTGTCAGAGGGATGGAACACCTTTCCTTTGAGGAAAGGCTGAGAGAATTGGTATTGTTAAGCCTGGAGAAGAGAAGGTTTCAGGCTGACATAATTGCAGCCTTTCAGTACCTGAAGGGAGCTTATAAAAAAGAGGGAGAGGGACTTTTTATATAGGCAGATAATGATAGGACCAGGGGTAATGGCTTTAACCTGAAAGATGGTCCGTTTAGATTGGATACTAGGAAGAAATTCTTTACTGTGGAGGTGGTAAGGACCTGGCAAAGGTTGCCCAGAGAAGCTGTGGATGCTCCATTCCTGGAAACGTTCAATATCAGGTTGGATGGGACTTGGAGCAACCCAATCTACTGTAAGGTGCCCCTGCCCATGGCAGAGGGGTTGGAACTAGATGGTCTTTAATGTCCCTTCCAACCCAAACCATTCTATGATTCTATGTTAACAAAAATTTTAAGGGTTTGAAAGGTAAATGGGGCAAGTGCAATGTTTCAAATTAATTGAAAATATTTAAGGAAGTACAAGAGCTGTATGACTGGAATAATTTGTGCATTTTATAATTGTTTTCTGTTTGTTTTTTTAATAGGATGTGTCCAGATACAGACTTAGTTGTAAGTAGACATTTCCATCACAAATGCATATGCTAACATTGTCAAGCACTACAATCTGATGTAACTTGACTTATATACAGGACAGAGGATTTAATATTTTGATAACATAGTTGAAGTGTTAATTTTGTTCAGAAAATAATCTTTAGCAGTATATACAAATATGCATCAGTAATACATTTATATTTCTTAACAATCTTAAGTTTTAAATAAGGTGTTTTTGCTGCAATTATTTGCTTCTCTGTTTTGCAAACTGATAGTTTAAATTGCTTGACTAATCAATTTCAAGTAAGAAAAAGGTTCAGAGAACCCAGCTTTACATCATCATGTTCCTCTGCTTACAACTGTCTCTTTGGAGAACCCTTCTAATAATAATGGGGTTCTGGGTGATTGCTTGCAATAGTGTGTAGGAATATACATTTTAAAATATGGCTTTAAATGCAATATCTCAGTGCATTTTATTCATGGTCTGTTTTTCATTGCTCTCAGTTTGATCTCTGATATGTCTTAGAATTTTATTTATTAAATTCAAATAAGTGACAGTTGCAAATGAAATTGATATGTTAATTTTTTTTTATTTTCTTAATTGAGCATTTTCTTTTTAATAAACATGCATGTTGTCTTGAATTATATGTAATAAAGATTGCAGGTCCCTATAGCTATAGTAGGGGTGAGGCTCAAGCAGCCATGACTGAAGGGAAAACCAGAGGGTGAGATCCAGCAGTACAGGGAGGTTCCTGAGTTCAGGAACCCATGCAGCAACCAGCCCCAAGACAGAAGCCCTCAGCAGCCAATCAGGTGAGCCGGGGGCAGTGCCAGGAGCAACCGAGGGAGGTTTAAAAGGCTCCAGGGAGTACGAGTGACCCGAAGCGGAGTGCAGCGAACAGGGGCATGGCACATCAGTGAGGGCATGGCAGGGCAGTTTGCACAGCAGTTTGCGCAGGCAGGGCTAGCAGGAAGGGCTTCTCTCTGACCATCTGAGAGCAGCCAATAGAGGCAGCAAACAGACTCAGTAGCTAGTGAGGAAGAACAAAGAGATCCTTTCATCTCCAGTCTTATTGACATACTAGTTTAAGCTTCCTCAGTTATGGTGTTGACACTCCGTAAAGCTTTATCTCTTGTAGCTGCAGGAGTCACTGAACCAGCCATGTCAGAGGTCTCCAGCCAGCCAGACCTGGTGATGGTAGATGCATCTCTCAAGGCACAGGTTGCCAGGAGTGCCTGATGCCTCTCCGTAAGACTGGGGCAGACAAACAGTTATTTTGCAGAAGGTGTGCTGTGTCACCAGGTGAAGAAGCTACAGGAAGAAGTGAACAGGCTACATAGTATTAGAGTGAATGAGCTAGACCAATTATTTTCAGAGATGCTACAGTCTCAAGACTCTGGGGAGTCTCAAACCTCCATTGTAGCGAAGCAGATGGACTCAAAACCCTGCAGGGTAATTAGTCAAAGGACTATTAGTCAAGGATCTGTTAAAGATGAAGGCTGGAAGCAGGTCACTGCATGTACCAGGAGGAAGGTTCCTCCTCCTTCTCAGAATTTGACAAGTAGGACTGGTACCTTCTGCAAGATGTATGAGGCTCTGGAACTAGAAGGTCAGACAACTGATGAGGTGGGCAAAAGTCCTTCTGGGATAGTGGGGCCTCCTAAAACAACACCTGTACCGCCCATCAAGACCTCCTCTGTTAATAGGATAGGAAGGGTAGTTGTAATAGGAGAATCCATTCTAAGAGGAACAGAGGGCCTGATATGCAGACTGGACCCAACTCACAGGGAAGTCTGTTGTCTCCCAGGGACTCCAGTAAAGGACATTACTGGAAAACTCTCCAGTCTAGTAAGACCCTCTGATTGCTATCTGTTATTGTTTGTTCAAACTGACAGCAATTGTTAAGTAAGATACTCAGGTATCCACAGAAATGCCAAGGCAGGGGAAAGAATTAAAAAAGTTTATTAAGAAGGCCAGAACATGAGAAACTCACAAACTACCTAACAGTATGGTTTACGCACCAGGCCTATGGAGAAAAAGGCAAGTTCCTGCCCTCTTAGGGCCTCTTTATCCTCTCTGTTTCTCCCCCACCTTCCCAAGGCCTCTGTACATGTCTGCCCTGGGCAACCTGAATTCATTTGGCCCTGCTCTGCAAGGGCTTGAACTGATGACCTCTGGAGATCCTTTCCAACCCATATTAGTCTGTGACCAGGAAGGCCAGGTAAGAACCTGCCCAAGATACATACAGTACCTCATGTCCAAGTACAAACATCAGCATGGAGGCTATCTCTCTCCTCTCACATATCAGAGGCTGAGAAATTCTCTTTGCCTTTGAGGAAGTTACCATTTAGGCAGAAAGCCTTCCTAGAGAAAACAGAGTTCCTAGCTTTCCTGATACAAATTCTTCCAAAAAGCAAACTACCCTTACAGTGATGAATTAACAAAGTCCAAGGGCAATTGAAAGTGACTTCAGGGCCCTGGTACAATTGGTAGAGGGATCAGAAGAACAAGTAGTGATTGCCTTAATTCTTCCAGTAACAAGGAATAATATTGATAGGAACAGGAAGATCCATCAGGTCAGTGCATGACTCTGAGGTTGGTGTAATTGGAAAAATGTTGGGTTCTTTGACCGTGGGATGATCTATTCAACACCTAGTCTACTGATACCTGACAGGATGCACCTATCTCAGAGGGGAAAAAGAGTTCTAGCACAGGGGCCAGCAGGGCTTGTTGACAGAGCTTTAGATTGGAAGGCGGAAAGGGACAAAACCAAGCTCTACAGTGATGAGCAATGGGATGGTGTGCCAGAACTTGAGGAAACAAGCACTTATGGGATCCCTCAATCTGCTTCATGAGGTGTTGCCTACAAAGTACCACACATGAAATGTTTCTACACTAATGCACTCAGCATGAGGAACAAACAAGCTTTGGCCCAGTCCCAGAGATTTGATATCAGTGGCATAAGTGAAACCTGGTGGGATGACCTCTGTGAGTGGAGTGTCCTGTTGGTTCTTCAGGAGGGATAGGCAGGGCAGAAGAGGCAGAGGGGTGGCACTGTATGTAATAGAAGGATTAGAAAGTCTGGAGCTCACAGTTGGTAATGGCAGTATTGATAGCCTGAGGGTAAGAATCAAGGGGCAAACAAATAATGTAGACATGATCATGGGAGTCTACTATATCCTCTTCTAGAAGGTCCCAGTTTAAATGTTTTTCGTTTTTCTTGTCTTTAAGAATTACATTCTGTTTCGTTTTTCAGTCTTGATATAACATGATTGTGATTTGGCTTCTTCCATTGCTTTTTGGATGCCAGATGGGACAGAGCAAGGAAACTGAGTCAAAGTGTTGAGTGAAACTCTAAAAATAAGTTTGAGGTATAGAATGCTCAGTCCTCATGCTTTTTGTATAGGCAGTTTTACTTCATTGTTATGTCTTTATGTTTTATTTCTTTAAAAATTATTCCCCCAGAAAGTTGGTAAATGCAAATGCAGAATTATAAACCCTACAGACTTTATGGATATTTTAAACTATATAATACCTTAATCAATAATGTGTTGTTATGCATCTGCAAACATAAGGAAAATTGTGGAGTTTATTGTTATATTTTTAATTATGGGATAGAATGTTTGAGAATGTGAAACCTTCTTTGGAGGAAGTTCACCTTTCCAGTGACTTCTAGAGAGTCCAAGTGACATCCATATTGAGCTTATTTTTACTGCAAATACTACAAATAACATATTTGGGTAGGGGGCTAGACCTTCATCCCAAATCATATTAAAAACTGCTTCTTAAAGAAACCCAAAATTTGCAAAGATCATCTCATCTTCCTCTGTGTTAAAGTGAAAAATGACAAGTACATATAGGAAGGCTGTGGGGTTTTCCTCCATTCAGCATGGTAAGCAAATCATGTCTGTATTGTGTGCCTGGTGCTTAAAAGATGCACTGTGATCCACCATATAACATATAGTTCTGTCTTTGTAGGAGTGTAAAGAAGGGAGTAAGAATCAGTCAAGTAAATGTAAATGTCTTCATTAACATGAGATTTGTGATTTTGTATATCACTTGAAGGGCTGTGTCGTCTACTACTGATACAAAATGTAGATTAGTAAATAAAATGTTAATGTTTCAGAAAGCAGAACTGTCCAACTGTTCAAAATGTTGAAAACAATATTTCGAAATTACTACTTAGCTTGTCATCATCATGGCTGGGGTTCGCAGATGAACATTTGAGAAGGGCTCTACCCATACTTGCTACAAGTGCACTGATGGCTAAAAAGGCCAATGCGAGATAGACAAGTCTGGTTGAAGAAGGCACAGCGGAAAGACTCCCTTGGTGATATCGACAAGATGCGATTCTTTCCTGGGTTGTCTTTTCTCCTCGAGAGTGACCCTGCGTGTGTTCTCAAAAGAGGCAGCAGCGTTATAGATAGTGTGTCTCCAGGCCTCTCGATTGGAGGCCAGGGTAGACCAATGGTGGTGATCAATATGGCCAAGGCTGAGGGGTTGTTTCAGGCCGTCCTTGTATCTCCTCTTTGGGGCTCCTCTCTTGAGGCAGCCAGTGGCAAGTTCCCCATAGAGCACAATCTTAGGGAGGCGGTAGTCCTGCATCCTGGAGACGAGTCCTGCCCAGCACAACTGTCAGCAGCACAATTTGTTGTTGTCATTACAAAGGTGCATTAAGTATCTCTTCTACCCTTTGCCATTTTTATAAGAAATTTATAACTAGAGAAATTTTGAAGACATCTGGGGTTTTTTTTGTAATAAACTTACTGTAGCATCTCAGCAGTTCATATAGACTTACTATGCATGCAAAGTGATGAGTGGGATTCTATTTTTCTGTTTTGAATGGGAAAATTATCTGTGTATCCAAGTATATCCCTTTATGTGTAATATACAAAAGTGTGGTTTTTTGCACATTTTTGAAATTTAGATGATCATATTAGAGACTTGCTTCTTTCTGTCCCAAAGCATTTTAATGAAACTAAGTGCTTAGCTAAGAATTCAAAATGATTTTATACATAATTCTCTTCAGTTAAAATTTAATTGACTGGAAGAACTGAAAGTCTGAACTAGTTTTAAGTTCCCAGATGCTTATTAGCTTTAAAAATCCAGGACAATGCTGGAGATGAGTAAACAATAACTTTGGAATCTGATTTTGAGAACTTGTATTTTAAGTTTCACCCATGCCTTTAAATTAATGTGCACATTCTTTGCTAAAGCAACAGTACAGGCTTGCTGTCTTTTCAGGGGAGAGAAGAAGTTGCAACCTGTATAACCTGGGATACTTTTATTCACTTAATAAAGTACTGACTAGTATTTAGAAGAGGTTATGCTCCTGCACCATCAGAGCCTTAGTGGCTTAGCTAGAAGAAGTAGAAATCGGGAAAATATTTGGGGTTAAGAGTATTGTAGGCTTATTTAGTGTTCATTTATAAAGTTAAAATACTTCTGTTGATTTCTGACCTTTTTGATAGAATACCAGTAAAAGTAGATGCATTAAAACTTGCCAGTTTTCATAGGCAATTTGGAGATTGTTTTGTTGCATTGTGTTCCTGAGATATCTGACACACTACTTCTGAACTATAGAGCATAACTTGAGATAACTGTAATAATTATTAATGCATAACAGTGGCTTTCATAAAGTGTTATGATAAAATTTTAATTTGTCAATTATATAAAATTCAGACTGATGTAAGAACAGCATATATTTTATTTCTCAATACCATTTTTTTTTGGTTTTTTTTAGAACATTCCTGATATAGATGATGAAGGATACAGCATTAAACCAGAAGCATCACAGGATATCCTTTTTGCTATTAGTGTGCCAAGTTATTTCTTGTTATTGCAATTATTTGGGGAGGGGAAGTAGCCATTAAAGATGAATGGCATGCTTATGTTGCAACCTTGTAGTCTTATGTTCATAGTGCACAAAATTTTGTGTAGTTTAGATTTTATGTGTGTAAATGCTAAAGGTTAGATCAGATGTCTGAGGAACTTTAGGAGTATGATTTTTTGTCTGAGTAAAAAAATCCAGAACAAAAACTTCAAGGTAACCATGCAGATCTTTCTCCATGGAAGGCTTTCAGAGAGTGCCTAGTTTGTTAACTCTTACGCATAATGAATGGCTTTCTGTTGTATATCTGTGCCCTTCCCACTTTTTAAAAACACTATTAAAAACATTGGAAGCTCAAGCAGTCTAAAAATAGAAATTCTATTAATTAATGAAATATCAGGCTGTTTCTAAGTGGTGCTTATAGTTTTTATTGTATTTTTAATGATAGTTTTGAACAGATTTTTGTTACGAGTCTTTTTTCATTATTTTTTCATTATTTTCTCTACTCTCCCTTTGAAGAAAAAGATTCTTGTCCAGGAAGGACTAAAAACTGTGGCATATTTACTTTTGTATACATCTGGTGTGTATAATGGATCAAAGAGTGGGTCCCATGAGTAAATAAGGCAGGGTTGTCTAGCATTATATTCCTCAAAGGTTTAAATTCACCTTTACTTGATCTAATAGATGGGTGAGGGGATTCAAGTTGAGATAAGATGGTTACATTTACCTTTGGACGCATAGTTTTACAATATTTTATCCAGTCCTGAGTTCTGTTAGGAGGTGGGGGATAAGTTTGGTAAAGGCCATAGGAATACCTTTCCAGAGTATTTGGGCTCCATTGGTTTTGCTTGTCCACTGTTCACATAGGGGTAATGGGGCTGTCACACCAGCCATGTTGAAAACAAAAGATCAATTCAATGGTATAAAAAATTGCAGTCCTTGGTCAGCAGACTCAGGTAATGCTACACATATACCTTTATCGGTATGTGTCATAGTTCTGATTTTAGCAAGGAATTTTTCTTTCCCTTCCCCCTGCCATGTGTGCTCTGTGTATGGGCCATCAGGTGAACAAAAGAATCGGCCTGTTCCACTGATGGCCGAGAGATTAGTCTCCTTGACAACGAAGGGGGAGGAGTTGGGGGAGGGCTAGTGTGTGTGGCTGGAAGGAGGTGGGGAGGAGAGACTGGTGTGCCGGTGAGCTCAGGACCTGCTGCAAGCTGCAGATGCTGACTGGTTTTGTTTTTTTCTTCCTGTCGGAGGGTAGTTTGCTGCTGCTCTCTTCTCAACTGTTGCTGGCTGCAGGCCCTGCTTAAAGCAAATCCTAACCAGCTGAAGTTCATGAGTTTTCTTCCACTGGGAGAACTTTCTGTTTTATTGCTGGGTCTTTTTTCCTTCCCCCTTCCTCCCCCTCTTTTTTTTTCCAGTGTGGGAAGGGAAGGGGAATCGAGGTGTTTTTTTTGTTTTTTCTTCGATATACCCCGGGGGATGTTGCTTTTTCCCCTTCCCCCAACCCACCTGGCGGCAACCAAGGATCTCACAGTGCCGCCTGGTGACGGGCACTGGACACTACAAGTTCTGCACCTCCAGTGACCTAACAGTGCCCCCTGGTGAATGGTACAGGACATTACAAGTTTTGCATCTCCAGTAACCCAACGGCTCCCCCTGCTGACTGTGGTTGGAACTGCACCAAAGGGTTCAAAAAACTGAACTATTTAATTTTCCTTTTGCCAGTTTATCGGTTTTGTTTTTGAAGGGGATTATTGGTAAGTATAGGAGTATTGCTTGGTTGTTTTATTTGTTTTTTTTTCTTCCGTTTTCCTGTTAATACACACATACCTTTTAATAAAGGGTTGTTATATTCCCTTTTCCATAATTTGTTTTCCTTCAATCGGAACCTCTTAATTTCGGATTTATAATTGCTTAGAAAGAGAAATTTGGGTCTTTTCTCCTAATCCATCCTCAGCAAAAGACCTTTGTCTCATTTAAACTGGGACAGTATGATTCCATATTTTTGCAAACCCTTTGACTAGTTCCCAGGCGAGATTCCTTTGATTTTCACTTTTAACAGTCTGTTCTGCTCAGCACATGGACAAGATAAATAACCATACAAACATAACTAACAAATTATAACTACAGTTTCCAGTAAACTGAACCATAGTCCAAATCTGAGGTTTTCATTCACAGTTCTGAATACTTTTCTGCATTGAACAGTTACCTGTAAAAGAAAAGAAAAAGATCTGTTTGGCCCCTTTTAGGGACAACATTAAAATGTAGGAAAAATCCACCGAGAGCTTATTTTGTGTTCTTTGCCATAAGTATCTTTTGCTTTCCAGGTGTCCATGTTCAAGGGAGTGGCAAGTACCATTTTTACAGCTCCTACAGAAGGCATTTCCACTAATACAGGCTGTCCAGGAAAGTGAGAGGGTTTTTGATTACCCTCAGGTTTTGATGTTGCTGGTATCAAAGAGGGAGGCTGTGGATAAAAAGCTGTGGGTCCAGGGCATCCATTTACTCCCCATCAGTCATTCACCATTTTTACAGTGTCCCACAGTCATTCAACCTTATTTGATTTCTGAGGTTTTAAAAATCATTTCAACAGACCATTTGTTCTTTCCATTATGTCATTTGCTTGTGGATAATAGGGTGTGTGAAAAATCCACAGATTCCTTCTTCCTTGGCCCACTCCTGGTCAATGGCAGCTGTGAAGTGTGACCCGTTGTCTGCTTGGATAGATATGGGTTTTGGGAAAAAACTGAACCACATTTTAAGAGCTTCTAGGGTGTTTGTACTGTTTGCCTGAGAGAAAGCTTCTGCTTGCACTAATCCTGACCTAACTTCCACTCCTACTAACACATACTGTTTTCCCTCAGACTTTCTAAAGGGTCCAGTCTAGTCTGTCTGCCACATGTCCCACAGCCCTTTTCTGTCTCTTATTTGTAACAGGGGTTGTTCTAAAGGATGAGGCTGGAGTCAGGTTCTGCACTGTTCACATGAGGACATGCAGGTGCAGCACATTTCTCGAGTCACTGCCCATCCCCTGCTTCCTGCTGCTCTGGATAGGTCTTGTGCCCCTGTGTGCTGTCGCTTTAAATGCAACCATTCTAACAGTCTGTCCCAGCTCTCTTCAGGAGTTTTTACACTTAGAGAGGCTAATCTGGCCAGTTCATCTACTTTGTTGTTCCAGCGGCCAGCTGGAGTTTCATTTTCCTGATGGGAGGCTGCCCATCCAACTACAAAGTTCCTTTTCTTTGCTATAGCAAGAATTTCTTGCCATTTCTCTTTTTGCCAAACAGGGACTCTGTTCAGTTCCCAGTCATTTTTGTCCCAGAAGGGGAGCCACTCAGTACACCCTTTGAACACAGCAAAAGAATCAGCGTAAACATATACAGTCAGAGGTTTCAGCTTCATGGTTAAATACACACCAAACTGCTACTAATTCTTGTGCCTGTGCACTGCCTTCTCCTTCGGGGACTATTTTGTCTCCTGTATGTACCTGTAAAGCTACAGCACATTTCCAGACTTTACCTTCCTGCTTTGCTGAGGCATCAGTAAACCACACATTCTGCAATTGCTCTGAGTGTGGAGGTACAGCTTGAATCACAGAAGGTGGAGAATCAGCTGGGCTATGTAAAGTTACCTCATCTTGTAAGGGAAGATTTTTGGGAACTCCTTCTGTTACCTGAAAAATGGTGCAATAAAGGTTCAATTTGATCATTCCATTTCCCAACAGTAGCTCACTGGGCCACATAGGAGAATTATAAGGAGAATGTGTTGAAATCACTATTCCTTTTTCTTTTAAATCTCCAATAACTGGAGTGATTCCTTCTCTGGCTCCCAAAGGTAAGGGGTAAGGTTTGACATTGGTTACTAGAGAGGGAGGAAGAGCAGGAGCGGGACTTAGTAAACACAGATGTGGGATTTCTTTTCCAAAAACCCATATGTTTCCTTCCTCATTAGTCCAAGACCTTCCCTTCAGGAGGTCTAGCCCCAGTAAATTATCAGGAAGTTTACCCAAAATCATTAGGGTTTCACCTGCTTTCTCCTCCCCTGGTAAGCAGCGTGTTGTCTTTGCTGTTACCTGGGGTTGTATGTTTCCAAAATCATCCACAATAAATATGCCTTTACTGGAGGGAGTGATTCCACATGCAGATGCAACTTCAATTATCCAGGCAGACACTTGAGGACCAGGATCTACTAGAAAAGTGACAGGGGTTTTGTGGGGACCAACAGGTTATTAACAAGTGTCCTTTGGAATTTTTGGTAAGCTGTCCAATGTCAAACTGTCGTGGTTTTGCTTTGGGTCAATTTTGTTTTCCACCCCCTACATAATTACCACTAGTTGAGAGTAAGTTTTTGCAGACAAAAGAGAGACAGGATTTGGGGAAAACAGTATAAACATTTATTACTAGTAAAACAAAAACTATTAATAAATGAAAAACTAAAGAACTATAACAATTTCTATTTAAGTTGAAATGCTATATATACACAGAAATACTTCTTCCCTTTTTATACTAGTTCAAGGAGAAGAAGTAGTTTCATTCTGTATTTTTGGAGTTCCAGTTCTTTTTTTCTAGTAGCAGATTCTTAGCAGCAGTAGCACTTTTATTGCAGTTGGAACGTCTTCTCTTTCCTTTTCGCTCTGTGTTGGCTTCCAGGGCTGGGCTTACCCCCCTCCTGGGCTAAAACCGAAGGCTGGGGGTTACCCAGGTCCTGAAGGGTTTTCCTTCCATAGGCTTGCAAGGGGACACTTGCCTACTATGGATCTTTTTCCACAGGGTTACAGGGGATAATGGTTTAAGAGTTCACCTCTGTTTCCCTATGGAGGTTCCTCCCCATGGGAGAACAGTCTTTGATAGACTTCTCGGCATGGGTCTAGCACAAATTCACACACGCACGGATTCCAACATTTCACATGGGCCGTCTCGCTCCAGCATGAGATTTCTCAGAGTTACAAAATTTTCAACAGCA